CAGAGATGCAGACAGGAAGGTTAAGGCTCAGAACATGGCCAGAGACATCAGTAAGAAAGGGTTCTTCGGATATGTGAGCAGTAGAGGAGTACAGGTAAGACATAGGCTTATCACTAAACAGGGCAGGGAAATAAGTTACTAATAATGCTGACAAGGCGGAGGTTCTCCATGCCTTCTTTCCTCCATCTTTAGTGCAGCTGGAGCTCAGATCGCAGGACCAAGGAGCTATGACAACGTATATGTCGACCCACCAGTAGCAGCCCCCTGCAAGGACACAACTCTACAAATCAGTGGGCCTGGGGTGAACCCAGCCCATGGTGGTAACAGAAGTGGCGGTGTCTACTGTCTTTGAAACATCGTGGAGATCAGGGGGCATCCCTGATGACTGGAAGAGTTTGGTAAATGTCACACTCGTCTACAAGAACGGCCCAAAAGAGGACCCAGGAAACTACAGGCCCATTACCCTTGCTTCAGTCCCTGGGAAAGCGGTGGAATGAGTCCTCCTAGAAACTACTACAAACCAAATGAAGCAGGTGCTTGGGATAATCCAGCATGGATTTGCTAAAGGCAAATCATGCCAGGCTAACCTGATCCCATTCCACAACAAAACAACATCTTCTGTTGACATGGAGATAGCAGTGGACATTGCTTAACTAGACTTCAGAAAAACATTCATCACGGTTTCCCACAGCCTTCTCCTGGACAAGCTGGCAAGACACAGACCGGACGGGTGTTCCGCAAGACGGGCAGGAAATGGTCTCACAAGCTGCACTCAGAGGGTGGTGATCAATGGTTTCTACTCAGGCAGCCTGTCACAAGCGGGTCCCCCAGGGATCCGTACTGGGCCCCACGCTGTTCACCGTCTTCATAAATGATCTGGATGATGGGACTGAAAGCACCCTCACCAGTTTTGCCGATTACACTAAACTGGGTGGTGAGATGGACATGTCAGAAGGGAGAGTCATCTTTCAGAGAGTCCTGGACAGGCTGGAAGAGGGGGGCAGCAAGAACCATATGAAGATTAACAA